ATCCTGGAGAAAATGGAAGGAAAAAAGAAGAGGGACTGTCTAAGGGCAAGATGGATAGATGTTATCCTTGAAGTGACTCACTTGACCTTGAAGGAACTGGGGGTGATGATGGCCAACAGGAAGCACTGGCATGAGCTGGTTCGTGAGGTCACAAAGAGTAGAAAGCAACTGAACAAAAAAACAACAAACTTTGTGCTTGGTGTTCATGCAGTGTTTCCTAAATGTTACTGTTCGATACAAGATGACACTGAGATATTTAGGATGGAAACAGTGTTTGAGCTCTTGGCCTTCCCGGGTAATTTTCAATTTCCCATTGGCTTCATCGTTAAGTAGGTGGAAAGCACACATATGTCTTGGCAGGGTTTGTATTCAGGTGGTTATCTTTGTACTAGCTAGAGAGATCCTTCAGGGCATTAGTAAATTACCTTTAAAGGTGCTGCAGAAGGAGTTGTACTAAGCAACTGATTGCCCAATGCAGTGAAGTTCTTGCAAAATATCTGTGATAAGAAACTTTATAAGTGGATACTGCTTTATGATATTGTTCTGCTATATGTGACATCTAGTAAATGTACTCACCAAATTTCTAACACAGATATACCATTTTGACTGATAAAAGCACATAACAACCTGCCATTTCTGATTTATTGCAGTCTGGTTTTTATTGGAGCTGGAGGTCACACAGTTCTTTTTCAAATATAATTGTATATGCATGCATGCACACACGCAATCTCTCTTTCCTACTGTCCTTGCAGGAAGATCATATCTAGATGAACAATAATGTTTCTTTAGTTAATTCATATGCAGTGAAAAGTTGGAAAATTGATTTCCCCCCTTTATCATTGTTTGATGTTTTAAGTCTAATGCAATAACTTAGGCATGTTGTTGTTCATTCGTTCAGTCGTCTCCGACTCTTTGTGACCTCATGGACCAGCCTACGCCAGAGCTCCCTGTCGGCCGTTACCACCCCCAGCTCCCTCAAGGTCAGTCCAGTCACTTCAAGGATGCCATCCATCCATCTTGCCCTTGGTCGGCCCCTCTTCCTTTTCCTTCCACTTTCCCAGCATAATTGTCTTCTCTAGGCTTTCCTGTCTCCTCATGATGTGGCCAAAGTACTTCAACTTTGTCTCTAGTATCCTTCCCTCCAATGAGCAGTCGGGCTTTATTTTCTGGAGGATGGACAGGTTGGATCTTCTCGCAGTCCAAGGCACTCTCAGAACTTTCCTCCAACACCACAGTTCAAAAGCATCTCTTCCTTCGCTCAGCCTTCCTTATGGTTCAGCTCTCACATCCATAGGTTACTACAGGGAATACCATGGCTTTGACTAGGCAATGGATCTTGGTTGCCAGTCTACTCTTCTCTATTTTATCGAGACTGGACATTGCTCTCCTCCCAAGAAGTAAGCGTCTTCTGATTTCCTGGCTACAGTCTGCATCTGCAGTAATCTTTGCACCTAGAAATACAAAGTCTGACACGGCCTCCACGGTTTCTCCCTCTATTTTCCAGTTGTCAATAATTCTTGTTGCCATAATCTTGGTTTTTTTGATGTTTAGCTGCAACCCGGCTTTTGCGCTTTCTTCTTTCACCTTGATTAGAAGGCTCCTCAGCTCCTCCTCGCTTTTGGCCATCAGAGTGGTGTCATCTGCATATCTGAGGTTGTTAATGTTTCTTCCAGCAATTTTCACCCCAGCTTTGCATTCATCAAGCCCCGCACATCGCATGATGTTCTGCATACAAGTTAAAAAGGTTGGGTGAGAGTATGCAGCCTTGCCGTACGCCTTTCCCAATCTTGAACCAGTCTGTTGTTCCGTGGTCAGTTCTGACTGTTGCTACTTGGTCCTTGTACAGATTCATCAGGAGAGAGACAAGGTGGCTTGGTATGCCCATCCCACCAAGAACTTGCCACAATTTATTATGATCCACACAGTCAAAGGCTTTAGAATAGTCAATGAAGCAGAAGTAGATGTTTTTCTGAAACTCCCTGCCTTTCTCCATTATCCAGCGGATATTGGCAATCTGGTCTCTCATTCCTCTGCCTTTTCTAAACCCAGCTTGAACATCTGGCAACTCTCGCTCCATGTATTGCTGGAGTCTTCCTTGCAGGATCTTGAGCATTACCTTACTGGCATGAGAAATAAGGGCCACTGTACGGAAGTTTGAGCAGTCTTTCGCATTTCCCTTTTTTGGTATGGGGATATAAGTTGATTTTTCCAGTCTGATGGCCATTCTTGTGTTTTCCATATTTGCTGGCAAATGGCATGCATCACCTTGACAGCATCATCTTTTAAGATTTTAAACAGTTCAGCTGGGATCCCGTCGTCTCCTGCTGTCTTGTTGTTAGCAATGCTTCTTAAGGCCCATTCAACCTCACTCCTCAGGATGTCTGGTTCTAATTCATTCACCACACCGTCAAAACTATCCTCAATATTATTATCCTTCCTATACAGATCTTCTGTATAGTCTCGCCACCTTCTCTTGATCTCTTCAGCTTCTGTTAGGTCCCTGCCATCTTTGTTTCTTATCATACCAATTTTTGCCTGAAATTTACCTCCAATGTTTCCAATTTTCTGGAAGAGGTCTCTTGTCCTTCCTATTCTGTTGTCTTCCTCCACTTCCATGCATTGCTTATTTAAAAATAGTTCCTTATCTCTTCTGGCTAACCTCTGGAATTGCGCATTTAACTGGGCATATCTCCACTTTTCACTGTTTCCTTTTGCTTTCCTCCTTTCTTGGGCTACTTCCAGTGTCTCAGCAGACAACCATTTTGCCTTCTTGGTTTTCTTTTTCTTTGGAACGTACTTTGTTGCCGCCTCCTTAACAATGTCGCGGACTTCTGTCCATAGTTCTTCTGGGACTCTGTTTACTAAATCTAGTCCTTCAAATCTGTTCTTCACTTCCACTGTATATTCGCTAGGAATGTTAGTGAGATCATATCTAACTGGTCTGTGTATTTTCCCTGATCTCTTTAGTTTTATTCTAAATTGAGCAATAAGAAGTTCGTGATCTGAGCTACAGTCAGCCCCAGGTCTTGTTTCACCGACTGGATGGATGTCCGCCACCTTTGGCTGCAAAGGATGTAGTCAATCTGATTTCGGTGTTGACCGTCTGGTGAGGTCCATGTGTAAAGCCGTCTTTTAGGTTGTTGGAAGAGAGTATTCGTTCTACACAGCGAGTTTTCCTGGCAAAATTCTATCAGCCTGCGTCCCGCTTCATTTTGTTCTCCCAGACCATGCTTGCCTGTGATCCCAGTTGTCATTTGACTTCCCACTTTGGCATTCCAGTCTCCTGTAATGAAATAATGTCTCTTTTTGGTGTATTATCCAGTAGGTTCTGCAGATCCTCATAGAACTGATCTACTTCTGCTTCTTCAGCAGCTGTGGTTGGGGCATATATTTGGATCACTGTGATGTTGAAAGGCTTTCCTTGCACTCGAATTGAGATCATTCTGTCATTTTTTGGGTTGTATCCAAGCACCGCTTTAGCGAATTTCTTATTAATTATGAAGGCTACTCCATTTCTTCGATGTTCCTCTTGTCCGCAGTAGTAGATCTGGTGGTCATCTGATGTGAAGTGGCCCATTCCAGTCCATTTCAGTTCGCTGACCCCCAGAATGTCTATCTTTAGTCTTGACATCTCACCAATAACAACATCCAATTTGCCCTGGCTCATAGATCTTACATTCCAGGTTCCTATGGTGTGTTGATCTTTAGAGCATCGGATTCGTCGTTCACCTCCAGTACCGTCGGCCGCTAGCCTTCCTTTCGGCTTTGAGCTAGCTGCGTCATCACATCTGGGGCAAGTTGAACTTATCCTCTGCTCCTCCCCAGTAGCATTTTGACCATCTTCTGACCTGGGAGTCCCATCTTCCAATGGCATACCGACATATCTCTGGTTGTACTGGTCCATTTAGTTTTCTTGGCAAGGATACTGGAGTGGTTTGCCATTGCCTTCCCCAGGGATCACGCTTGGTCTGACCTCTCTGCCACAACCGTCCCGTCTTGGGTGGCCCTTCACGGTTTCGCTCATGACATCATTGAGGTGCTCAAGCTCCAGCGCCCCGACAAGGCGGTGATCCTTTGCTGGAGAACTTAGGCATGATTATTTTAAATAAAGAGTGACCATAGAGCCATGCTTTGCGTTTTTAAGGAAGTACTTTAATTCCCATACTCCTTGTGTGCACCTTTTATAGGATTTGGTTTTTTTAAAAATAGTGTTGTCTAGGCAGGAATCAATACATATAATTTCTAAGTTTTTGGAAGTTTAACAAAGGAATCAAGGTGAGACAAACTGATGGGCTTCTGAAGTAACAAGGATTGAGCAAAACAACAGGCTTTCATCCTCACTGCTACAAAAGCGAAATACCTAGAATTTGTGATAATAGCTATGTTTAAAATAAAGTGAAGAAATGGACAATGACCAGGAAAAGGAAAATTCAAAGAGCAATTGCAGGATGGTCGACAAAGTGCAAAATTTCACAAGCATTTCAAAAAAGCAAAATTGGATGGACCGCAAAATGAAATGCAGGTAGTTTGTGGAAACAAAAGGACATAAAGAGATATTTGATGTCCTTTCTTGTTTGCTTGAACAGCCAAGCACCTTGAGGTTAGCTGCTTCTGTATCCACTTACATTATGACTGCATGCATCATTAGTTTCATGGATCATTTGTGCCTTTAATGGGAACAGATATTATAAATAGGCATAGATTGTGTTAGCACTTGGATCAAGTCTTTCTAAGTGCTTTCCAGTTAATATGCCATGCATGTATAACTTTGACTGGGATAACACTAAGAATAGTGGTTTTCAGACATCGCCATCTCATGTGTCCCAGGAGAAAAAGAAAAGGGGTCTGGGTATAGGAATCTAGCAAGCAGCACCTGTAACTGAATTACTTTAGCACAAAGGTTTGAGGATACAAATCCATGAAAGCTCTTGCTAAAATAAATTAGTTTGTCTTAAAGGAAAATTCCTCTTTTTTCCATCCCATTTTTTCTTTTTTTTAAGACTGAGAACGCTGGTATTATGATGAGCAGTTGAGAAGTTGAAAGTGGTGCATTTTTCTTATGAAAATGTGACTCCTTGGAGAGTTGCTGATGAAAGTTAAATACAAAGGGGTTAAAAAGATAGCACATTTCTAAACAAAACTGTAGGTATGTAATCCTTTATGTTGGCCCTTAATCCTCTTTGCTGGCTAATGTGTATAGTATTAGATATGTAAAGTAGTTTTGACATTAGACCATAATTTATTTGAAGTATTTTTAAGAAAGAAAGAGTCAGAGTAAAACAGAAAGTGGTATACAATAGTTATACTGTTAGGCTTTAAATTCCCAATCAGTCACAGAGTTTACTGGATGAATGTTGGCTAGCTATTGTCACTCACCCTAGCCCATGTCACAAAGATATTGTGAGGAAAAAGCAGAAGGAACAAATCTATAATTCAAGCAAAGTAATACTTCAGTATGCCTGGTAAAGATTTAGTGTACAGTTCCAGCTTTGAAATAACTGTGTTTCATGTTTGTTTTTTCAGAAGGGCAAAGGTGGAGGGTCATAGCTCTTTGAAAGGGAAAAGAAATTGCAGTGGTTTCCAAAATATGGAGAGAAAATACTTGTGATCACTTACCATCTTTTTCATGACTCACAGAACAACTTACAGGGTATGGCTGTCAGAAGGCTTGAAATCATTCTGGTTCATATCACTATGGAAAAGGTTGTTTTGAAATAGAAACAAAATTGTACTTCCCTTTAAAAGTGTCTTAAAATATATACACAGTGTTGCTATTTTGTGAAATACAGTGGTGTTCAAATGGGAGAAATTATAACTATCTTTCATCAAATTGCAGAAGCCTTTAAACATACCCTGTTAGACATTTAAGGTTTTCTCTAAAAAGAAAAAGAAGAATAGTTCCAACCTTGCATCCTCCTCTGTGGACCATTCAAAGTTATCTGTGTAGAGTTCTCAAAAAACCCTGCCTGCATGGATCGGAATATTAAAGTGCTGGTGACCTATAGTGTGTAGGAAGTAAATTTGATGGGTGGTTTCTTTAATAGAGTTCAATTTGTGTGGGTTTAACTTTGATCTTTAATTCTTTCATTCCTGTGAATATTACCTTGAGTTAAAAAGGACAAACCAAGAGAACAGGCTGTACTGTTCACTATCATTCGTGATGTCTGGGTTCTTGAAATTTCTGCAATTAGTAGAGACAGTTAAAATATGAAAAGCTTCAATTGCTTTAAACGATTGCCCCAAGGGTGCTGTTGTCTCACGCACATTACATTTTTGGGCACATGTATCCCTGAGATCCTTTAGCTGTACTTTTTTTTAACATCATGGATAACTGACTATATATATAGTCGAAACATATGTCCCTTTCAGATAAGCTGAAGTTACTGACCTGTCCTTCAGCTCCACATTGGATGAACCCAGATAGGGAATATGTACAACTACATACACTCTTTGCTAATTGGATTCACAAGGAGCATTCTGCATATGTGCAGTGTCAGTGAAACTGTATCATCTCTCACTTGGCAATGTCTCTTCCAGTTACCTGAATTACTTGGGTATCCTTGGAGGTATTTGACTAGAAACCCTCATGATTATAACAGCTGGGATGGAGCCCCCGTGACGCAATGGGTTAAACCCTTGTGCTGACACTGAAGACCAATATGTTGCAGGTTCGAATCCAGGGAGAGCAAAGATAAGCTCCCTCTGACAGCTCCAGCTCCTACAAGGATGGTAAAAACATCAAAACATCTGGGTGTCTCCTGGGCAACGTCCTTGCAGATGACCAATTCCCTCACACCAGAAGCGACTTGCAGCTTCTTAAGTCACTCCTGACATGAGAAAAAAAAGCAGCTGGGACTAAAAAGTGATAATTGACACTACACAGTGTTTCTGGAGGTAAACAGAATGGATTTCAGTAGGGCTTACTTTTAAGTGTAGGAGTGCATCACACATATCTGTAACTTGTTTTAAGCAAAGAACAGGATGTGTTGATTGACAAATAGGTATTTGTAATGAACCCTGAAAAACATGTAGTATATAGGCAATGAAGAAATATTATCTTCCCCAACCTCCTAGTGAGTGTTCAATTATTGAATTTGGAAGCCCACTGGCACTGGTGTTTTGTTCCATCCATTATTTCCCCTAGCAGTACTCGATACATGTCAGCCACAGCTTTATGCAATGGAAGCCAAAAGTCATAAAGCTGAGATTTTGAATGCTGCTCTCCGATGCCTCTAGTTATTATCACTCATTCTTTCTGGTTTTGTTTCTGTCTCGAAGCAGATGGATTTTGAGCACCGTGGTGCAATTTCTGTTTTCAGGATTATGAATGTCATTTAAGGTGAACTTAGGCTGCTGAACAGCTTTAATTAATTGATTGATTGATTGATTTGCCCTCTTCCTTGGAATAGTGTATATGCTGAAGGAACTGAAAAGGTCAAAAAGTAGGTAGCAGCCTTTGAACTGGATCTAAGAAAAGCAATATGGAAAAGAGCAGTTATTCTTCCTTTAGCATGAGTTTTCACTTAAAAAAATATTTTATCCCCCCCCTTCACCTTCTTTTTGATGATAATGTATCTATGAAGAGTAAAAAAAAAAAGATACTGCAAGTAGAAAAATTTGCCTGAAAGAAGAAGAAAAAACACAAGGCAACAGCTGCTAGTCATAATGTTTGTATATTACTGTAATGCCTTTGAATACCAGCTGCAGGGCACATCAACAGGAACATGTTATCCTCATATCCTGTTTATGGGTTTTCCATGAGAGTTACAGATACACAATTATGGGAGCAGAATGATGGGCTAGGTAGGTCTGATCCAGCACAACTCTTCACAATTAAGAATAATACCCCATATTGAAAACTGTATTCTTCTCTTCTTTAACAGTTTTATATTTATTCACAATTTTTCTTTTCTTTTATCTTTGTCGGATGACTATCAGTTTGGTAATCGTAGTACTAGAGTGAATAAAGCATGGAAGTCACGTTGGATTGTGTTTCATTTTAACAAGTTCTACTGATTTTTTTTCTTTTTTGTAACATGCAGAATCTTGCAGTAACCTATTAGAAAGAAAGCAAAGTGAGTACACAACAGCCATTCTGCATAACACAGTACAAATTAGATTAGTCATCGTACAAGAACTGTTAGAATGTCTGTGGAGTGCACTTATCAAAACCCTTTAGCATCCAGCTGCATGTTTAACAGCCAGTGTTTGTTGATCACTGTGGAAATGTTTAAATGTATGGGCAATGAGAATGAGGAGTGAACATCTTTCTCACCTAATAATACACACTATGTGGGTATGTCTTTAACATAAATTGGGCACTGATCCCCAAGGGATATATGCATAAAAATGGGAAAATAAACATTTTCAAAGTCTTTCTCCTAATGAATTGGGTAAACTCAATTTCCTTGTTAAAATCACAGTGTCTACCTTTTGACATCGTGGTTGTATTCATTTTAAACAATTTATACAAATAAAATGAAAATATGTATGTATGTCAAAGACTCCTACATGGCTTGATGGATCCAGACCAAATATTGGTGGTGTTTAAACTAAATAAATAAAAAACAACAGCTGAAGGTGTATTCTAGCTTAGAGGAATTTCTGGATCCATTACCTGTGCATACTAGTTTTTTTTGTAGGGGATTCAAGTGTAGGGGTTTCATGCATGTGTTTTTAAGAGAATGCACAACAATACATTGTTGCCGGGAAAATCTACCCTTTCTCCCATCCTGTAAAGATTGCGACTAAATCAGAGTATGTGGGCAGAAGGCCCTTTGTGTGTCGTATATGATGTCATGAAATAGTTAAACTAATCATCATAAAGCTTTTTGATCAAAACGTCCTGACACTTTGACTCTGCCAATCTTGGCTCCAGACACTACAGTTAGAATATAAATGGAACCATATCAAAATTCCTTCTAATCCATGGTTGTTCTTCTTGGTTTTTTGTTGTTGTTGTTGTTGTTTTTTACAATAGAAGGGGGAAAGCTTTATAACTATTATTCTTGGGACAACACCTCACAACCTTACTTGAACTTCTTTACATCCCTACTGAAAATGTTTATGTATGTGTGTGTGTGTAGGTTGCCTTCAACAAGCCATATAACTTGGAAAGGTTTGTGTTAGTATCTCTCTCTCTATACACACACACACACACACACACACACATAAATAATTTGCTGGCACTCAACATCTGACAAAATACAATTGCATTGCATTTTGTAGAGAATGTTAACTAGATAATATGTCAAAAATATACGAGTACTAAAGGAAAATGTACAGGTGCCTTTGTTGCTGCATACATTCAAGTCAGTAGAAGAATGAGGATGAATGGAATTTAATTTAGAAAGAATGGGGGATAATTTGCTAGCTTGTATTGCTGAAGGTTCCAGTTTTAGATTCAAAGACTTTTTGATCTTGGACAACTTTAGAACCACATAGCTGATCAAAGGACAACCTTGATCTAAAAAGCAGTTCTGCTGGACCATGAACTAAATTGCTGTTTTTTTCTATGATCAAAACTAATAGGTACTTAATTTTTAAGTATACAGTGGAGTAGGTACTTGTATTGCAATTAGATCTAATGGGAATAGGTCCTGAAATTGTTTGTATTCTGTGATTTCTCTGGCTTGCTAGCTTTGTCGTATAGCTTAAGCATTGTTGCTTTGAAGTGAGTTTCACCATGTTCACTGGGAATGACCTAATAGTTAACCATTTCAAAGGTTTTGGAGGAAATCGGGGTGAAATCAAATGATCTTCCAGATATTATTGGATTCCAACTTCCAGCACTCAAGCATACATAGCCATTGGTTAAATATCCTGGGAGTTGCCATATGATTCCTACCCCAATCTAGATTGTATTGCTAGTTCCAATTAAAGTAGATCAGTTGAATCAATGCAGTTTGCATAAGCATTGACTTAATATTCAACAATTGATTCAGTTGTTTCTTCTTCTTCTTGGGAATAACAGTTGAATCAGGATCCTACTAATTTACATAGGACATAATTAAATCTCTTTCAGGGATTATTGGTACATAAAAGTATAACTGGACAATTCTTTAAGACATACACATACTAACCGATAAGTGTGATTAAGGTAATAGTCTAAGCTAGTGAATACTAACACAACTTACTGTCCATTTTCCTCTTAGCAGAAACCTTGTTGCCAAGCCTTCCTGCTGAATTAGCCTTAGGAACATAAAAACTAAACTCTGTTGGTCACTACTAAAGATGTCTACAGAAAATAATTCTGGTCACATTTAATTTTAACTTAACGTTTATCGTCTCTGTTCTATAATTGTTTAGTTTTGACCATCTCCTATCATTCTCCTGGAATAACAAATGTAATGTAAATATTTTCCCCCAGTATACATTGCACTTTTCCCCATTGACATCTTTGTTATATCATTAAGTTTCCCCTTGTGAAAAGAGAAAAGTGCAGGATGGATATAGAATTATATGGAGATTCTAGCAAATTCAAGTGGCTAGAAAAGGTTTCTGCTAAAGTAACCTAAAAAGAAGCCAAGTATAATGGTATAGATTGGCAAATACTCTTCTATTAAAGATATCCATGCAGAGGGACCATGCAAACAGATGGGTGACTGTGGCCTTTCAGATACTGTTGGACAGCAACTCCTAGCTTTTACCAGGAGCTGTAGTGGCTGTGGTTAATGAGACCTGAAGGACAATATGGTGAAGTTCTTTGGTCCTTGGTTCAAAATATCTCTCCATGCCCATAAAACAAGGAATAGAAAAAAATATTAAGAGGTTGACAAATACAATGTGAACTTGGGAGGAATGTTGAAGATGCAAAATGCAGAAAGGCACCTTCTTTGGTGGACCTGTATGGTGGTAAAAAAGTGTTGGAAAAAGGTGACTAAAGAAACCAATAAAATGATTACAAAAAATATTAAGAAAAACCCAGAAAGGGGAAAAAATAACTACTTAAGGATTGGAGAAGAAAAATAGTAGAGAATATCTAAGTGGCTAAGATCTCCAATGGTATAAGAGGAGAAAACAAAGATGAATTTGCTAGAAAATAGGGATTATTGTTTTATTTTAAAAAAGAAGACAAAAATAGATTTTGAAATAGCTGAACAGGGGATTAATTTGTGCAATGATAAGGGCTGATTTTTGTTAGTACTAGTTCCATTGGTGTGGTGTCGGAAATCATGGATGGGTGGTTCATGGGTGGGAATGGAGAGGTGGCAAGACAGGGGAAATAATACTTGTATTTTGGATGTTGAATTTTGAAGATTGTATTTTTTTTTAAATTATATACTACAATAAAAAAGTATTGATACCCGAACAAAAAAGTACAATGTGAACTAGATTAAGTTCTTGTGGAACATTTTTTATAGATTTTGCAAAAATGCAGCTCGAAGATAACCAATAGGTAATAATTATTTTTCATTTCAATACTTTGATTCTATTTTTTTTACTTCTTTCAGTGGAGTTTTTATACTGTGATTTGGCTTCCATGAAGTCCATACATCAGTTTGTTCAAGCATTTAAAGCAAAGAATTGCCCACTTCATGTCCTGATCAATAATGGTGAGTTCTAATTCTCTTCATATGAATTTTTACCTATAGCAATCCTGTCATTCTGTCATACTGTATATTTCATGAAAAATGTATCTGTCAATTGGATTTAGCTGTGATGGATTGTTGAAATCTCCATATTCAAAACACAGCTTGAAAAGAAATCCCCTGGCTGGGAAATTCTGAGAGTTGTAGTCCCCAAAAAATAGCTTTCCCAATCTCTGGCTCAAACGTAGCAGGGACATCACAGATAAAATCAAAATCACCCATAATAGGGGTCATATGAACAAAACCTAGAGGGAAGCTTCTGTTCTGTCAGTGGAAAGCTTTCAATTGCTTAAAAAGCTTAATTGGATGCTGCTGTGTAAAATTCATTTTACTTTTTAAGACCTTTCAGTTTATAGTATCCTATCAAGCACTTTTATGTGTGATCGCCATCCCATGCTGTATAATTGCCCAATTAATGTACGATTATATACTGTGCTGGCGTGGTTATATATAATGCTGGCATGTTTCCAGTTGATTATTTCATTTTTGAACCTGAACTTGCAGCTGTAATCATGGCAGTCTGCAGACAAGTGGGCCGTGATTCATGGACTTGGCTTTAGTGGAGAAAATTTGCTCATATGAATAAGCTCCGAGGGCACTGGATGTAGTCACATTGCACCAAGTTTCTTGTAAATGTCACACAAAAGGAGATGAACATGACAGGGTGACTTAAGGGCAAGGGATGGTACATGAATCTCTCTCCTTTTTGTTTATTCTCTTTAAATAAAGACCTGTGGATTCGTTGAATACAGTTAAAGAGAATGTTTTCACAATGCAATGTGGCAAAGTATGCATTATCATATCTTGCATTTTCAGGTTTTTATTGTGCTCCAGGGTCTGACTTACTGCAGTATGCAGTGCTTCTGCATATTGTACTGTGATACCAAACTGTTCTTTTACTTTACTGTGGATGTCAGAAGCAAATGTATTTTCGTTCTCTCTGCTCTAAGAAGCAAATTGATGCACACGTATTACTTCCCACATAACCTACTCTGGCTACTCAACAGCCATCATCACTGTTGCTGACACTATAAGAGGAAATGTAATAGTTTCCTAATTTGATGTTGTAACACCCCATACGCAGCAAGAAAAGTCAGATTACAATTATTATTATTTGAAACGCAACAAGATGAGTCCACAGTAGACACTCTGCTGGCTGTTGAATTGGATCACATGTTGGACACTTCCCAAGTGTCTAGGACTGTGTGATGTATCGGCGAATAGTGCGTGCAGATCCCAGTAAGGTGGCCTTCTGCAGCTGGCAGATGGTAATTTTGTCAGCGCTGATTGTGTTTAAGTGCAAGCCAATGTCTTTAGGCACTGAACCCAGTGTGCCGATCACCACTAGGACCACCTTTACTGGTTTGTGCCACAGTCTTTGCAGTTTGATTTTTAAATCCTCATATCGTGTCACCTTTTCCAGTTGTTTCTCTGCAATCCTGCTGTCACCTGAGATTTCGACATTGACGATCCATACTTTGTTTTTTAACACAATTGTGAGGCCAGGAGTATTACGCTCCAAAACTCTGTCTGTCTGAATCTGGAAGTCCCAGAGGAGTTTGGCGTGTTCATTCTCTGTAACTTTTTCCGGCTTGTTGTTGTTGTTGTTGTTGTTGTTATTATTATTATTGAAATGATGTGAGAAAAATGTGAGATTTTTCAAGGAACCTCTCTATATTATAATTTACTATTGTCTTATAATTTTGCTCAGTCTGCAACATTAGATAGGACACATTAGGTTACCATTTTAAAATTCTTAGCTTCAAGAACCAAACTAGATGTGAGAGTAACCATTTAAAAAAAAACAAAAACTAACATCAGCACCAATTTCCAAGCCCCCGGTGATGCAGTGGGTTAAACCCCTGTTCCAGCAGGACTGAAGACCCACAGGTCGCAGGTTTGAATCCAGGGATGAGCTCTCTCTATCAGTTCCAGCTCCTCATGCAGGGACATGAGAGAAGCCTCCCACAAGGATGATAAAACATCCGGGCGTCCCTTGGGCAATGTCCTTGCAGACAGCCAATTCTCTCACACCAGAAGCGACTTGAAGTTTCTCAAGTCACTCCTGATACAACAAACAAACAAACAAACAAACAAACAAACAAAAAGGCACCAATTTCTGTGCTAAGTAGGTTATAGTTATTTAGATCAAGGTAGGCATGTAGGGTGAATTTAGTCCTCTTCTCCTCTACTGTATTTATCAGAAATTTTTTCCCGTGAACATGTGGTTTGTGTTGGGATAAAATCCTCAATTGAGTATACATTCACAGATACATTCAATATTTTGTCTTATATGGTTATGGACAAGACTGGACTTAATGTCAGGGGAAAACCTTAAGCTTTACCTATGGTTACAAATCTGGGGAATGTGTCTGTGAACTGGAGTCAATTTTGTTATATGAGAGAGTTGCCCCATTTTATTTGAAATCTAAGGTCTGGAATAAACCATGTTTCCTTTAGGAATTTTATTTTGTTAGAAACATATTTCTATCACTTTTAAAGCACTTTTGCATAACTTTCAGAAGAGAAGCCAAGATAGTACAAAAATGTAAAAATGCTTGTTGCTATATGTCAAAAAGCATCTCATACACATGCACACATAGCACTTATTTTTTTTTAAAAAAGCAGCATAAAATATTACAAGAATAAGGATCACAGTATAAAAGATGGGCCTATATTCATTTTCAGAAGCAGCATGGAACAAACAGGTCTTTCATAACAACATAAAGACAGGCTGGGAGAGAGCCATGCACACACCGAAGGGCAGAGCCTTCTACAGGGATGGAACCACCATAGTTATGTGCACATGAACTTGGCCTGTGTGGTTAATCTGTGGGCTTGGGCAAGTTTTCATTGGTGTAAGTAGTCTTTCATATACTGTGATTCCTAGCTATTGATAATAGCAAACAATAATTGCCACTTTAAATTGTGCTAGAAACATACTGGCAATCAAGAAAAAAATATGTTCCATCACCCATGAGCCCCTGGTTGTATCATTCTGTACTAATTGAAATCTTTGGGTCATCTATGAAGGCAGACACATCCATAGTAGGCCAGTTTCAGATATGACCAGGTCATGAATGTTTGTAGTAAGGGCCACTTTCTCTAGAAATCAGAATAATAGAATAATCAAGTTGGAAGAGACCACATGGGCCATCTAGTCCAATACTCTGCCATTCAGGAAAAGTACAATCAGTGCACCCCCAGCGGCTGGCTACCCAGCATCTTTTTAAAAGCCTTCAATTGAAGGAGCTTCCACCACACTCCAATGCAGAGAATTCCACAGCTGAATAGCTCTTATGGTCACAAAGTTCTTCCTAATGTTCAGGTGAAATCTCCTTTTCTGTAATTTGAACTCATTGCTCTGAATCCTAGTCTCCAGGGCAGCAGAAAACAAGCCTTCTCCCTCTTCCTTATGACAGCTTTTCAAATATTTAAATATGGCTATCATGTCTCCTCTCAACTTTCTCTTCTGCAGGCTAAACATACCCAGCTCTTTAAGCCACTCCACATAGGGCATGGTCCCCAGACCTTTGGTCATTTTAGTTGCCCTCCTCTGGAATGTTTCAGCTTGTCAATTTCTCTCTTGAATTATGGTGTCTAGAACTGAACACAGTATTCCAGATGACTAACACAGAATAGAGGGACAACAAGACTTCCCTTGATCTAGACACTATACTACTTTTGATGCAGCCCCAAATCCCTGCTGCATCACACTGTTGGCTTATATTCAACTTGTTGCCCTAAGACTCCAAGATCTTTTTCACATGTCCTAATCCATACTTCCTGGTGCACATCCATAGATAGTTGGATTTCCACAGCCTCCTTGTAACTAGGTGGTGTGAAAAAAAGAGGTAGAACTATTTGCCACTTTTCAGATGGAATCTAGTGAGTGTTCAAAGGAATGGAAGGCAAGATAGAAGGTACCTTTAAAGGTCACAGGGTACACTAGGAGTCCTTCAGCTTTCACTTCTAGGTATAGTGAGCCTACCCACAGCAGTTCATTTCTGCAACCCATTGCAGATACCGATAAAAGTAGATGACCAGGGTATCCATGTTCATATTGCTGCCATTCACCAATAGTGGGTGCTGGAAATAGCACATCTGGATCCCAAGGAAAGGAAGGGCTCACTGTGTTTGTGTGTATCTGAAAGGACCAAAGCCACTTTGAATTATTTACTTTATGATGAACCTAACTACTCCCTGGTTTTCAGTGAGATCTTAATGTGAGAGCGCTTGTCCCAGTTTATTGAAATCAAAATCTACAACGATCAGCATGGCTTTGCCTCTCCTGCCTGTTCAACCTGAATAAAAACATACAGTATTTAATTCTGAACTAATTCAAGTACATAATTCAGGCTTGATAATCTTGCAGAGTGGCAGATTTAATGTTTAATTATATGGATTGCCGCAGATTCTTAATATCAAGCAGATCTGCTTGCCTGTACACTAATAGCAGATCAAGAATTGCTAAACAAAATATGCATTGACACATGCTATACAAATTATTCATAACTGCTCTTGCTTCTGCTTTATTCTCTCTATTGATGTCTGTTTAATCAAAGGCTTTTGAAACCAAGCTTGCTAAGCTAAATTAGTAAATTGCATATAAATGACAGTCTTATCAAAACAGAGAAGTTTTTTTAATGACACTAGTTTTATGTATGCTGCCAATCCATGCTCTGAACTCACTTTGATGAGCCTTCAGATATTAAGAAACATTAGGAATCCCAGGGCAACAGACAGCGACATCTATTGCAGAAACTGTTTGCAGAAAAGATTGCAAAACTGATTTTCAGAGTGCCCCTTGGCAACAATAGTTTCACATTTATTATTAGTATAAAAGTAGAACAGCTTTAGTTGTTCAAGTTCACCTCTTTCGGACTCTTGAGTAAAGCTGTTGACATACCTGGACTGTAGAAAATCAATAGCGTACAACTTTTAGTGCCTAGTGAATGTTGCGTAGTGAATAATTTAAAAAGGAGAACTTGTTCTTCTTTCAAGTCTTTTCCTTTTATCTGAAAATGGGTTGGGTATTCACTTTATTTCCTTCCAATGCATAGGAAGATTAAAATAGCACTGTAAATGAAGTAATGCATTGGAATAATTTTAAAGCATAGCTATATCTTCAGAGACAAAGCCTGTTGGAATTGGCAAATGTGCACATATCAATGTAGTAATTTTAAGTGCGGAAAAACCCCAATATTATTTCACCAATACATTCACAATTGATAGAAGGAAAAATGTAGAAAAATTATTATGCAGAATGGGACAAAGTAAAAGAAGCAAATAGAATTTCAAGGCTGTAGATAATGTGGGTTTTCTCCTTTTGATATCCCATCATGTGTTTAAATCCATATTACATTTTCTGCACAATAAATATTTTCTGCACAGTGTACTGTATAAAAACAAAACAAAACACCTACGTGTGAATTTTGTGTATGTCAAGTCCCAAAGATATTTGTAATTCAGGATTCTACTTTTCATGGTTTCCTAATGCTCAAGAAACATGTTTCTAACTTTTACTTGAATATTTTCAAACATTCTTTCCATTCCCATGACAGAGTTATCAAAGAACCACATTGCCATTCACTAAGCGTTAATATGCATGTGTGTGCCCGGAGGTTTTCATTTTGAACATATGAATTGTAATGGGGGAGAGGTGGGGAAAGTAATGAGCTCTTCCAAATGAAAATTTCAACTAATGAATTTTTCATTCTGTGCCTAGATTTCTAGTATTACAGAGAATGAGACATTGAAAATAATCCATACCTAGAACACTTCCACTATGTTGCCTCTTCCTTTTCTTTGAATACCTAAACTATAATTCTAAATGGACTATTCAAGTTCTGAATTGCTGCAATGCTTGACATTTGGGGAATAAAGGAAAATTGTTTTGGGGAAGCAGGAATCTCATTCCCTTTCCCTCTAGGTATCCACTCTGCTGGTGAAAGGGAAATCTGAAAGCCTGACCATTTTTTTTCCAGTGCTGAAGGAAAACCGAACAGCACTTCTCCTTTTCATCTTATTCTGGCTGCATTTCTTTTATTCTGTCCAAAGGAGCTTATATGTAAATGGCTGATTCTTTGGAAGATGGAAGATACTCTGATAAAATTGTTAGACGTGCTGTGACTGTATCTGACTAGCTGGCTTATTACGCACATGGAATAACACCATCTCCTCCTTCTTCCCCTTGACAACATAAAACCTCTTAGCTGGAGTTGGACAGCTGGAAACAATTCAACTATGAAGGGCCAAAGTGTTCCTGCCATAAGTAAAATAATGCTTGGTGTGATGCATTGTCAGAGAACGCAGCCAACCAAGACTCTAAAATGTAATAACCCCCACCCCCCGTATCCACAGAGGATATGCATTGTAATTTACTGTGGATATAGGAAACTGTGGATAATAGTGAACCCCACTGAATGAATGAACACCTTCTGACAGAAGTTAGCACAGAGATGGGCTGGGGAAAATGAAAATTCAGAGAGAGACATTCTCTCTAAGCATTTCCTAAGTTCTCCGTGTTGATGCAATGCTCCATTTTGGAAGAAGCATACTATAGAATCACTGGAGGATCTAGAAACCTCCTGATTCACCCCTTGAAGACTTCTCTATAACATACAGTTAGACATTCAAATTAAATAATTACCACATCTTGGAAGAAATATATTACATATAAATGACATTACCTGTAGCATGTTAATTTGGGGGAGAGAAATAATGAGGAAGAAAGATAAGTAGCAACTAGTAACATTGCTATTTTTCCACATAACATTTACACATGACATGTAAATATTGCAAAGGAGAGGAGGAATGAAATGCTTCCTTAGAGCATTTTGTAGGAATTCTCCTCCAAAAGATTTTAATATCATTTTCTTATTTTTGTAGTTGATTCTCCCTCCTCTCCCAGGAAGAAACCAAAAATTAACAGGAAAAAGTAACATAATGTAACACCAAAAATATTTTGATGGTAGTGGTAATGAATCACTCTCTCTTACTCCCAGTAATGAGATAGTTTAACAAGCTCCTTCTAGACAGTAGATTTCCAGGATTTGGTATATAAGAGAGAAATATGAAAGGTATCAGTTATGATTTTCTTCTAGAAATAGCCTGGCCTTATGAACACTCTTTTGTATATTGCGGTTGTTTTGTTTAAACAGACCAATTTGGAAATGTGCTGAAAGTGTCACTTTGAGTGATGCAGTGATATGCCATCATCCTTTCTGGATCTGCGAAATGAACTGCTAAAAGGCTTTTTAACAGTATTGTGAGCCAGAACAGTTCAGAAGAGATGGAGGGAGCTGTATTTTACATGATGAATCAGAAAATAACTTCACACGAAAATTTATTTTTGTTTCAGCAAATGAAGGCAAGATTTGAGAGGTAGCACACTTCAGACTATGATATACAGCAATTCAATAGCAATTAATTTGACTTGGAAATAGGATAATGTCATAGTTTTGTTGTTAAAATTGTTCATTAGAACAAATCTATATTAAAAATTAAAAATCTAAACAGAATAAAAAGTTGTCTGGGATCAAAATAGCTACAATAGTTACATATTGTCTAAAGGTTGTTTTATATAAAATATAAAGTCAGAGTTTGAAAAGGGTATCTATTTTTTAAAAAAATGTAAATCTAAAACATTTATTTATGTGTCTTAATGAACTTCAAGAAATTTTCTCCAACCTTTTTTAGCCAATTGTATAAAGTTACTATCATACAGGTGCTAATAATCTAGCATTTGACAAGTACAGCAGAGTCATCTATCCACTTTTTCTTCACTTATGTCAGAAAAAGTAGAAAAGTAACTAAACAAAAAAAAATACAGAGCTGCAGTGTTACAAGCCAGATTCTGGACTGCTCCACTGGCTATTCAGATCCTGCATAACTCCACCAACCCTCAAGTAGTCTGTATTTTGAAAATCAGGATTTGAAATTTGAAAATAATAAAATTGTATATTTTTCAGCATCTGCCCAGAACTGGAAAGAGCAACTGCAGGAACCTGTCTGGAAAAGTAGTAAATGCAGTTGGTTCTCAACTTCTGATTCTCTATCTATTTGGTGCCACAGTTCCTAGAAACTTTATAGTTTAGGGATACTACAAATAAACCAGAGAGTTGTAGCACTCACCAAACAACAAACCCCACAGTTGCATAGGATCCAGCCATGTGAAAGGGTTAGTTTTCAAAGGCCTTCACAGTTCTAATCCTAGATATAAACTTAGTGGGGAAAAAATCAGATTTCTCCTACTTTATTTATTTTACTTATGTTCACATTTACACTATTATGGATAGAATTTAAGAGTGCCATCATATGCAAGTTCCTACAATGGCCATACATTTGAATAGGGCTATGCTATAGATTCAGTCATCTTTACTTGAGGGACATTTTTTCAGTAATAAAGGTCTGTGACCACCTTCTGTTTTAAGACTAGGACCATAGCTAATGGTCTATTTATTGCCAACCACTGATAAATCTATATTGAGATGAGAAAATAATTTCCAACCCTTCTCATGGATGAAGGTGGACATGGCCCATTTATAACAAACAAGAATCTGTATGCCACCAGTTTTGCTTGTATTCAATGCTGCTTTCTTTTCTCTGCTCTTCAGCTGCTGTAATGTTGGTGCCTGAAAGGAAAACAGAGGATGGGTTTGAAGAGCACTTTGCTGTTAATTACATTGGACACTTCTTGTTGACTAACCTTCTCTTGGAAACACTGAAGCAATCAGGAACCCACAGCCACAATGCTCGAATTATCACCCTCTCATCAGCCACACACTATGTAGGCGAGTTACATCTCAACGATCTGCAAAGCAGGTACCAAAAACATTTCTTTCCTACTTAATGTCAACCCTCTGTATGATAGAAACCAGGTACATGACAGTAGATGTTGCTGCCCTTGCTTGTGAGGATAATGCCCCCTGTTTGCAGTCCCCCAAGTGATACCCCCAAGTGAAATCTGATATGGAAATTCAGGGTAGACTGTGGGGTGATAATGTGTGTGTGTGTGGGGGGAGGCCAATTGTGTGAACAAATGCCCACCTGTACTACTCTGGAGTTCACCATCCCTTTGGTTTATTACTCAGTTATTTCATGTTTCTGTTTTGCTTTAACCCCAAGTTAAAGGTTAGGAATTGATAGACGCTGAAAAGATTGACATCCTCATAGTGTTTAACCCCCTCTAGATATGTGAATTTGAGCCTCAGACCAAATAGACCTCACTCCTACTCAATCCCCATCTTTTCAGAAATGATGAGGTTTGGAATTCTTTTCCTTTATACTTCCATTTTAGTGATAATCATTCCAACTCAATCAACAAACCATGCCAATAGTAAAAGTTATAATAGTACTTATACTTGAACACACCAGCATTCCACTTCCGTAGTGATTAAACCTCTCTGTGGTTTTTTAAACAGAGGCTGGATGGCCATCCACGGGTGCTTTGATTATGTGCTTCTGCCTGGCTGAAAGGGGTTGGAATAGATGCCTTTTGGGGGGTCTCTTCCAACCGTATTGAAGTATAGATTGCCTCAGAGTTCGGTTTAGTATCTCTCTCGGTAGGTTTTTAAACTGTGATTGGATGGATGTCTGTTGCGAAGAGTTTGACTGTGTCTTCCTGCCTGACTGAAAGGGATTGGACTGGATCTCTGGAGGGTTTTTTTTCCAACTGTGTACCCCCCTCCTCCCAAAGCCAGTGGTGGAAGGGCTTAACCTCCAGTTGGGCAGAGAACCTAACTCTCCCTTTGGCCGGCAAAGGACTAGGTTCTCACTTCTCCTTGCTCTCCTCCTCCTCTGCCCCCCCCCCCCAGTGTCAGGGGCCACTATCATTGAGGTGGAGAGCTGAAGACAATGAGGAGGAAGTGGAGCAGTGCGGGACCTCAGGCAACACACTTTTAGTCTACAGGCGACACACTAGTGTGTCACTACACACAGTTTGGAAAGTTCTGCTCTAAAACATCACATACTCCCTCTTCTTATTTTTACCTCAAGCCTTTGTTTGTTTCTTTGAATATGTTAACAGTCCATATTCATTTCAAAATAATAAAGAATACACATTTACTTCTAAAAAATGAAGACAGAAGTTAATATTAATATGTTTGGGTTGAAATTAAATTAATAGAATACTAGGGCTTGCAGTGTCCAGGAAACAAGTGAAAATATCTTTATGAACTAATTCATAGGGTGTTTCAAATGATAAACCCCATTTCAAAGTAGTGCATTTCACAATGGCAACGTGTCAACATGACCCAAAAACAATTTAATGAATTATAGAATCATAGGATCATAGAGTTGGAAGAGACCTCGTGGGTTATCCAGTCCAACCCCTTGCCAAGAAGCAGGAAAATTGCATTCAAAGCACCCCTGACAGATGGCCATCCAGCCTCTGTTTAAAAGCCTCCAAAGAAGAAGCCTCCACCACACTCTGGGGCAGAGAGTTCCACTGCTGAACAGCTCTCACAGTCAGGAAGTTCTTCCTAATGTTCAGATGGAATCGCCTTTCCTGTAGTTTGAAGCCATTGTTCTTTGTCCTAGTCTCCTAGTCTCCAAGCTTGCTCTGTCCTCCCTATGACTTCCTCTCACATACTTATATGTGGCTATCATGTCTCCACTTAGCCGTCTCTTCTTCAGGCTAAACATGCCCAGCTCTTTAAGCCATTCCTCATAGGGCTTGTTCTCCAGACGCTTTATCATTTTAGTTGCCCTCCTCTGGACACATTCCTGCTTATCAACATCTCCTTTCAATTGTAGTGCCCAGAATTGAACACAGTATTCCAGGTGTGGTCTAACCAAGGCAGAATAAAGAGGTAGCATTACTTCCCTGGATCTAGACACTATGCTCCTATTGATGCAGGCCAAAATTCCATTAGCTTTTTTTTTTTGCTGCCGCATCACATTGTTGGCTCATGTTTAACTTGTTGTCCATTAGGACTCCAAGATCTTTTTCACATGTACTGTGCCGTCACACCCAGACACTATAAAGTTTAAACTAAGATGTGCTTCTCTCTTTATCCGGGTGAACTGCGAGTGCCTTACTTAGAAGCTTAGCATTCCCAGCAACTGAGACCACTCCAGATTTGAACATCAAACAGAATATTTATTTCTCAAAGTTCTTGGCAGACTTGGCACAGCTTGTTGAAGTTACAAACACAAACAGTCAACTTGTAAAATCATGTTCCTTTTTCCTTCAGCTGCTGAGCTAACTTCCCCCAATAGTAGAAAAATCCTGGGATTCTTTACCCTAGCCCTGAGCTGCTATTATTAGAAAGAGCAGGTCTTTCCCTATCTAAGCTCAAAGCTCGCTTGGGGATGAAGTAATAGAGCCTCTCCCAATGCCAGAGAAATCCTGGGATATTCTCTCCCCAAGTGCTGAGCTGCTATTTTTAGAAAGAACAGGTCTTCCCCTATCTAAGCTCAACACCAGTTTCAAAGGCAAGAGGGTAAGTACTCACGATGGCCTGTCCGAGCTGCCTAGCTTGACCACAAGCACATCTGAGGCTTTTTCTAAACTGAAGAAGACAGGAGAGCTTCTCCAAAATGGAGATCTCATCCCCAGGAAAAGGGGCGGTCTCTGGACCAAAGAGATACTTTTTAAAGCCAATAACAGCAAAAGGCTTTGCAGGCTGGCTTTAAGCCCCTGTTAATGGTTAACTTTCAGGGTGCTGCTGAGACTGTAGCAACCCTGGGGGAAATGCAAGAGGATGCTATTTCATGCAACTAAGGGGCAATGCAAACCAAGCTCCTGGAAGACAGAACATGTACTACTCTCGAGCCATGTGTCCCCCCATTCTGTATCTTTCTGTATAAGTTACCAAGTTACTAAATTTTATGATTTTATTAATCCTCTATGTGCTTTCCACCTTGCTGGACTGCAAAACACAAAATGCTTTATATTGTGAATGACTGAAGCTAGGGGCTGTTTGTGTGCTGAGAGAGGCATCTAGCAATAATCTTTTGAAACTCTATGCCCCCCACCCTTTGAAATGGTAAAGTTTCGTTCATGAGCAATTTGTGATTGCAAAGATATAGCTATTTAAAATTGGTTCCACGTTTTTGAAACACCATATTTTTTTCTTTCATTTATTTATCTACTAATTCTTTCTTTGTAATTTACCCACACATTTAATGCAGCAATTGTCTCCCAGTGTGGCTAATATCAATAGATGCAAGCTCTGCCAGCAGACTTAGAAACAAAATTGGCAAATCACCCAAGGGAAGAGAGCTTGGTTCTTTGAGGTTAAGATAAGATGGACATTTAATTACTGTTTGGACTAGGCTGTCCTTCCCTTGATGCTTCTATATTTTGGCTCTTTCTCTTTTGGTTTGTAAGAACATTCATTCTTCTTGGGGACAACATGCAACTGAAGCTGAATATTCTTTCTGATAGGGAGACGAAAACGAAAGCTCCTTAAAAAGTGTTCCTTCTCTACCCCATGAATTGCCATATTGATGTCTCACATAGCTTGATTTTTTTCCCCCAGAAGGCTGGATGTACTGCCTAACTAATGTCTCCTGGCTGGTAGCTGAAGCCACACTGGGGTTTCACTTCAATTTTATATTTTTCAAAAATTATAAGCACCACAAGAAAGGAAGCTGCAACTGACCTGTTATGTGTTGGAGATACCTTTGCAGAAATGTTGCCATTTCAATACATAAATTCAACAAAAAATGAAGTGTGAACTTTTATTTATAGCTACTTTATTTGCAAATCTATTCATATTTAATTGGTTAATTTAAAATATGGTATAATCTAATGACAGTCTTTTAATTAAGTGAGAACTCTAGAAATTACTCTTGAGAAATGGGGGGAGGGTGAATGTTTGAGACACACTAGAGATAGAAGTTCCCCCTTTCAGCTTTTTTTTCTTCAGTAAAATCATTGCTCAAAGGTATTCAATGGACTATAATTTCCTGCTGTGTTGTGAATAATCATTGCCTGTGGAGGGTCATGGAATTTGTGGTATTACTTGCCTCTTGTTCGTTTTGAGAAGCAGAAAGAAAAAAAATATTGACGGCAAGTTCCCCAGTATTTCTAAGATTTCTTGCTAAATCCAGTGATTATTACCAACTACACCAGTACCACTGGTAAGCCATCATTTATGTTTCACTGGGTCAGTGGGTCTACTCTGAGTTGGACTTATCTTGGATTTCAGCCTCTTTGTTGTCAAAGACACTGGCATTGCAATGTTTCCAGGTGTCAGAAAAAAAGGAGGAAGCCTAAAAATTTTCCACCAGGACCTCACCTCACAGCAACCACCACAATCATCAAGTAAATTATTGATAAACAGAAGAGACATGTATAGCAGAAGGGAGGCTGCAGATGGGGTTTGATTCAATTTGGCATTTGATAGTTATAAGAAAAACCTTTGATTTTTAAAAAATCTTGTGGTTATGAAAATACACGCATCAATTATTTTCTGACATTTCAAAAGCAACTAAGTGGTATTTGAAACAAACGTAGAGGAATTATTCACCACTATGATTTATGGAGGCTAATGGGGTTTTTTTTTTTAACAAAATGGTTTACAGAAATAAATGGATTTTAGACCCCACTGATCATAGTTGGGAAGGCCCCCCACATCAATCTGGAAGCCAGGTTCTTCCCAAGTTTGCTGTGGGATCTACTTTTAGGTAGGCTAAAGAGTTGAAGATCATCAGAATCTTTTTATTCTGCCAAAGCTACACACACTTTCATGTTTGGATCCCAGCCTACATATAGTCTAGCACTTCTCCACTGGCTGACAGATTCTTCCGTCAGCTATGTTCTCCATTTGGCAAGGTTCTCATAAAAAATTGTGCCAGTTGGCCGTCATTCAGGC